TATATATATTTGATTAATTACTATTCGTTCGCGCAACAAATATAACTTGTATATACACAATCTATATTGATTGTATTTCACAATAAGTATAACAAAGGCGAAATACAGAAATACAGAAAAATTAACAAACCGAATGCTTCCATTGAGAGTCAAACTCAATACAAGTAGAAGATGTCAAATTTTCGACCATTAAGTCGGTCGAAAATCACTTATTTCCGACGAAAATGAAAAGGCCAGAATATAGATGGTCGCAATTTTTTTTGGACCAAAACGGTCGGCAATTTGCGACCAAAACAGTCACAAAAAGGAAAAATCTGGAAGATTGGCTAAATTTGTCTTTTGCGATCGAAACGGTCAGTAATTTTGCGACAAGAACAGTCGCACATTTAAAATAAATTATTACTTATTCTTGACAGTTCCGACCATTTTGGTTGGTAATTTTAATAATTAATTTAAATTAAATTCAAAATTTCCGACCAAAAAAAATTAAAATTAAATTAAAAAATAATTAATTTTTCCGACCACTTCAGTCGTAAATATGGGAATTCCCAGTTAAGTTTTCCGACCAAAGTAGTCAGAAATCAGTCGGAAATTCTGAATTTTTTCAGTAGAATTCTGCTGCATTTTAAGCTACACCACCTGCAATTCAAAACTAATCATTCAACCTAATATGTGTCACAATTGCTCAAACAATTGAACACAAACCATCAAATATCAAACTACCAATCTATACAATACTTTCAAACAAGTCTAAACACATCTATTACAACACATTAAAGTATAAAAACTTCAACCAAATGATATTCATGTCTAAAACACATAATCCAAGTGTAAACCCAACCAAGCCGAAACCAATAAAGTCTAAACTCATATTACATTCAAAATTATTACCGATCATTACTGATTTTTGTCTCCTCATTATTAGATTCTTCTATTGTAGGGTGTTTTCCATGGTTTGCCTGAATGTCCGCATCATATTTATTGTTTGTTGAGAATTATCCCATTGTTGAGACAATTCATTAATTTGCATCCGTATTTTTTTAATTTCTTCGGGTGAAGCAGAAGCACCACTAAAACATGCGGCTGGATGACGACTTTACTCCAAGTCCGTAGACTCTACCTTTATTTATTTTCATGAGAAATAAAAAAATATATTTAAATGAGCAAGAGAAGAAACATACAACTTGTGCAAAATAATATTAAAACGAAGTCATATCTAAAAAATTACTAAAATATTTTATACCTTTATTTACTCCACGAATTGCCTGTGTCCATATCGAAGTCATATCTTCGGGCGTCGGCTGAGAATCGGGTTGAGTTTGTTGCCACTCCTCCATTCTTCTGTGATACCATTCCTGAAATGTTGTTGAAAAATATTATATAAACGAATTAATCTTAACAAAGAATAAAGGTAGTATTGTTAGAATCTTACATACGTCTCCGATGCACGCACTTCAACCCATGTTTCTTTTGTACCATCCTCCTTCTTCTTCTTATGTGTCTCCTCAAAAATAGTGGCATAAAACACATTTTCCCCATGTTCCTTTTTCTTTCAAAATAAAAAAATATGAGTTTATTACTTGGATCTCATATAATCTAAGTAAAATTTTATAAATAACTTACCAATCTCAATCGATGGGCCCAAAACTGATTGAACCTCCGGTGTGCAACGAGCCACCCTTACTGGAGGCTCTGTTTTCCTTCGCCTTTTCACCCCTCTACTTCCATTCTTCGGTATTCCACTTCGCCAATAGTTGATTCCAGATATCTTCACGCAACCACAAAGGCTTGCTCCCACCTTTTCGAGCAACAAAGTGAGTATCTTTAATCCTGTTCTAAGCTCTCTTCTCGAAATTTTTATTCACCAGATTTTCATGCTGAGGCTGCCATACACATTTAGTCTGCAATTAAAATAAATGTTAGACGAACATAATAAATATTATATAAATTATATTTATTCGTACCTTAAATTGAAACCACATATTCAATCTAATTTGGTATGGAATCACTCTCCAGGAATTCCACGACTCATGAAAAAATGACTTCATAGCTTCCACAACTATATGTGTGGCCTGAAAGGATGGAAAAAACCTGCATTATATGTAAAATAAACATTCGTTAAATATATGTATATCTTTATTCAAATAATTAGAAATTAAAGAATTACTTACTCGTCCCCATGGGGTACGACAATTAATCGATGTATATGATTGTACTCTACAGTCTCGCCAGCATACTGTCTCCGTGAAGGAGCAACTGAAGCAGCACTAGTAGATGGGGATGCAGCCGCCTGAGATCCTCCAATATCAAATCTAGAAATACTAGGAGTAGATGATGGTGGAGTGGATTGTAACGACCCGATTTATCGTTTTAAGAATTTACGCCCCGTTCAGTGACTTAAGGTCTCGAGCAACTTCGTTATAAGTATTATGACCCGCGGGTGTGGAAGAATTTGATTTACTGAAGATTCGGAATTAAATTAAAAGAACAATCCTTAATTTGAAGCCTAAATGGAAAGAGTTGACCGGAGAGTTGACTTTTGAGCATACGACTCCGGAATAGATTTTCGAGGATGGCAATAGCTTCGTATGATAATTTCGGACTTAGGCGCATGTTCGGATTTGGATTTGGAAGTCCGTAGGACAATTCGACACATTTTGGCGAAAGTTGGAAAATTTAAGATTTTAAAAAAGACTGACCGAAGGGTAAATTTTTGATAACGAGGTCGAATTTCGATTTCGAAAATGAAAATAGCTCCATTAAGTCAATTATGACTTGTGTGCAAAATTTGAAGTCATTCCGGATTGATTTGGTACGCTTCGGCGCAAAATATAGAAGTTGGAAGATTTGAAAACTTATAATTCGATTCGATGCACGATTCGGAATTTCGACGTTGTTTGACGTGGTTTGAAGCCTCGACTAAGTTCGTATTATATTTTGGGACATGTTGGTATATTTGGTTAAAGTACCGAGGGTCTCGAGTGGATTTTGGAAGGTTAACAGAGTTTATTTTTGGATGAGATAGCTGCTGGAAATTTCTGTTGTTTCTGCGCAACAGCTGTTTGTTTCTCTTCTGCGGATGTTTGATCACAGAAGCGACATTGCAGAAGCGAGGATTTCATCGCAGAAGCAAATGGGAAGGGGTACTAGATAGAGGTCACAGGTGCGATGCATTTTGCGCACTTGCGTGATCGCAGAAGCGACTGCTGCAACGCAGAAGCGGAATGAGGCAGCTTGGCATTGTTTCGTAGAAGCGGTCATTTTGTCGCAGAAGCGACACTGCAGAAGCGCATTTTCTTCCACAGAAGCGAACACTGCTGGGAAGTGCACTCTTGGGCTTCACAACAGCGCATTTTGGCTAGCAAAAGCAACCTCGCAGAAGCGCAAAGTCAGTCCGCAGAAGCAAAAATTGGACAGAAACTTAAGGACTAAAAATTGTCATTTCACCATTTTCGATTGGATTTTTGGAGCTCGGTTTTGGGGCGATTTTGGAGGAGTTCTTCACGATTTCGACCTGGGTAAGTATCCTATATCCAAAAGTGATTATATTTCATAAATCCATGATTATATACATCGTTTAATTTAGATTTAAATGGAAGAAATCAAGATTTGTACAAAATCTTTCAAAAATAAAAATTTAAGATTTGGAGGTCGAGTTGTTATTGGAATTCGATAAAATTGGTATGGTTGAACTCGTATTGGAATGAGTGTTCGGATTTCATGAAAGTTATGTCGGGTTCCGATGGGCGGCCCCGCATTGACTTTTATTGACTTTTTGTAATAAATTTTTAAGTCGACGTATTATTATCCGGAATTATTTCCGACGAATTTTAATGGAGTTATACAATTAATTTGGATAGATTTAAACTGTCCGGAGGTCAATTCAAGCAAGAATACTATTTTGGAATATTGGCCTAACTTCAAAAAGGTAAGTGTCTTGCTTAACCTCGAGTGATGGAATTTTTCCTTAGGCATTGAGTCTTATGTGCCATTTGTGAAATGTGAAAAGTCGTGTACGCGAGGTGACGAGTACGTACTCGGGCTTATACGTGCAAAATTTATTGAATTAAAGTCTTAGGTATTATTGTGTAGTAAATTGGGAAATTGTGAAAAATTATTAAATCATCTGTTTGCCATGCCTAAATCCTTATTGTTGAATTTATTTTTATATGATAATTTGATGTGATTGTTACTTGAAATATTTATGAAATTTTATGAGCATTGTTGGTTTCATATTTCTTGGAAATTAATTCCAATATGAATTTTCTTATGCAAATAATTAATTTAAGCGAGCTTAAGAATAAGAGTTAATATAATTATCTAAATTTGCATTAATGAAGGTTTTGCTTTATGCTGAGTAATTTCTATCTCTATTGATTATTTTTGGGTGTTATATACATTGTGTGGAGCCTTGGGCTATTTGTTGTGAAATTAATTGATTTTGTTATATCTTTGGAATTTGGTTGTGGCCATTGAGCAAATTGTGATATGAATTGATTTTATTATGTTACTGTGTTAATTTTCCGTATAAATTGTTGTGTTGTATGAGTTATTATTGTGGGGAGTTAAGGGTGACATTTCACCGTTGATATTATGTGGGTATAAGGGTGGCATTTCACTGTTATTGTGTTTGTTGAAATATTGTCTGGGCGGAGCGATAAGGGTG